AAATTTCTGGGCACTCTAGTGTTCAATCATCTTCTACCATCGGATTACGAAAGGCACGTCAGCCAATCTGCATCCTCAGGTCTAAGAGGATTGAACAGGGGCAACTGTTGTACCCCAAAATTTGCCCTCCCATATTTCTCAAAACATTTCAAGAAAATTCACAAGTCCAACCCGGCGTATTATATTCAGGTGTTCTTTCGTCAAGATATCTCTGGTAACATATTCTCAAATTCAGGTTCGGCTCAAGAGTCAATTCTTTGAAGAAGGTATCCGAATGTGTGAGTTTTCTCGAAGAAATATGGTGAAAAAAGTGTGCTGAAAGTGCAGTTTTTACGCGCTAAAAAATTCATAACTTGAAGATCGTGACTCCTTTTGAACCCGTTCCGGTGGCCAAAATTCCATCTTGACATTATCTACGTTTTCATCTCTCACGGCTGGAAGCCAATTTCGATCAGAAGGTCTTCAAAAATGTGGATTTATCAAGTATTTTCGTGCAGAAATTTGTGACAGAAGTTTATTTGCGTCATGTTCAAAAAATCATAACTTGGTCGATTTTCATCGTATCGAGCTGGTTCCGGTGCCAAAATTTCAAAAATTGAGTTGGCTACATTTTCACAGAAGGTATTGAGTTCAAACGGCATTCAAAAGGCCTTCGTTTTTTGCTCAGAGTGCGTGACACGCTGAAAATCCTGAATGCTGAATATTATTTCATCTGAGCCGAAACTTCGAAAATTCATAACTCGGTCAATTTTTATCGGATTGGACTCATATTTTTACACAAGGTCCCTGACTCATAGATGTACAACTTTACTTCAAAAGTCGAGACCAAATTATGCACCGATCAATACCAGTTTTTTATTGAAGAACGTGCCAGAGTCGACACTGGAGCCCAAAATAAGTTTGTCTGAGCTGAAACTTCAAAAATTCATAACTAATTCACCATTTATCCGATTGAGTCGATTTTCGGACAGGAGTTAGTTCTCGATGCCGGCTACATTTTGTCTTCACATTTCAACTTCAAAAAATGCACTTAAGTCCCTGCGATTTAGCCTGGAAAGTGACGAATTCAAGTGAATATTGAAGGCCCAATTGCACATTCAAAGCCCATTTTCTTTACCCTAATTTCCACTATATAATCACCTTCTTGTCACACAAAAAAGGGGAGAAAAAAAGAAGGAAAAAAAAGAAAAAAAGGAGAGAGAGAAAAAGAGAGAAAAAACTTAGCCACAACACTGTTAGAATATCAAACTCTTTCAAGAACCCTAAAACCTTGAAATCCTTATTACAAATCCCTCTCTCACTACAAGCAAGCCATCACAGTTATAAACCAATACCTCACTACTTCTTCAGTAATGATAAGGCTGGCTTGATCTCCATGATCCTAATCTTCCAGTAAGGGTAAGATTGATTTGATCTCCATGATCAAAAGGGTATAATCATTCATACATGCCATATTGTGCCTAAACATTAATATGTTGGTTTTATTTGAATTTTTATGATTTTATTTAATGTGTTCATGAGGTTCAACACTGCAGATTTAGACAGGATTCCATGCAGGTTCATTAAGGAACGTTGAGGCCAAATGGCCAAAAGGCCAGAAGCCAAATGGCCAAAACAGAACATTTTACACATGACACCAATACATGGCGAGGCAGACATTAAGCCAGAGATTAAGGGAACGTTGAAGCCAGAACACAAATGGCCAAAAGCCAAAAGCCAAATGGCCAAAAGCCAAATGGCCAAAGTAGAAAAACATATGCATGACACCAATACATGGCGAGACAGACATCCTGAGAAGATTAAGGAACGTTGAGGCCAAAACGCAAATGGCCAAAAGCCAAAAGCCAAATGGCCAAAGTAGAACAACTTATGTATGATGAGGCCAGAACACAAATGGCCAAACCACTCCAATTCACCTCCAAAAAGGGGACAGAAACCCCCAAGGTATTGTATTTTCTTTCTTTTCCTTATTTTATTTATTTCAATTATTTCTTTTTTTTTTAATTAATTCCTTTAATTTAACTTATTTTCATAAAATATAAAAAATAGTAAAAAATAGAAAAGTCATAAAAATCAAAATATATTTATTTAATTAATATTTTTTTGTAAATAAATTTCACTAATAATTAATTATTTATTTTTATAAATCAAAATTGCATGTAAATAATTAGATTAATTTTAGGTTTAATTTTAACATGTTTTTCTTAATAAATAAAAAAAAATTAGAATTAGGATTAATATTTTAATTTCATTTAATCTTTTTCATAAAAATACATAAAAAACATAAATATCAAAAACTCAAAAAATAATAATTTCTTTTTTCTCTTTAATTTCATTAGTTTAATCATTTAATTTAATTTCATTAAAAAGGGTCCAACGCCCTCGCTTCCAATTTTAATTCCAATTCGCGCATTTTATTTTATTTCTTATAATATTAATGTAATTCTCCCAAAGCCTTGTAAACTCGGACATTTTATTTCTCGCACTTTACTTCTTTATTTTCTGTCAAATCGGGTCCTGGGTTAAATTTGGCGATGTGGACCCGCGCCTTTGTAATAGTTTAGGAACTTTACCTTTCTCGCATTTTTTTAACTGTTAATAATGACATGCAAGAATGAATGACAATAAATAAAAACAAACGCGTAGATCACCTATACCATGAACAAGACAAAATATCTGAAAACGACACACAAGTCACACACCACCCCTAGGGTACGCCTCACTGTTGCCTTGCCTCGAAAGATGATCGTCGAGTAGAGGACGTCTTAGTAAGTCCTCATGATCCGGGAACCTGGCATGAGGGTAGCTTCTAAGGTGTCTTCCCATTGCTCTGGTGATCACCATGTCCCGAACCTCGAATTGACCCGAACACCTCCAACGGTGGTGCTACCTACCTCTCAATGGTGGGATGGCACTACTTTAAAGGACATTTACACAGACGAATTCCTTAGGGTAGGTAGACGACTCGTGGATACTTGCTCTAATCTCAAAACAAACTAAAAAACTCTTTTCACACCGACACATTTTCAAAAGCTTTCAAAAGCAATTTTTCAAACACTCTTGAGGACCGATACAAGAGTCGAACTGGAATTTTCAAAGAAACTTTTTAAAACCCACAGTTGAAAAGCAAACAAACCATTTTTGAAAACACAAGTGAGCAAGTATCTAAGAGCCCATGGATAACCATGGATAGAAAGGGTGCTAACACCTTCCCTTTCTATAATCTACCTCCCGAACCGAGAGCAATCTCTATAAGGAATTTTTCTGTGCTTTTGTCCTTTCCATTTGGAGAAAATAAAAGACGGTGGCGACTCTTGCTTCCGCGACATTTCGCGAACCAGCGTTAAACAGTCAGTTCCAGATCCACCGATCACACTATATATCATAAAATACAAATAAAGCCAATATATGAAGAAATTTAATGTTTAAGTCAATATGGCATGTATGAATTATTATACCCTTTTGATCATGGAGATCAAATCAACCTTACCCTTACTGGAAAAGTAGTGACATGAATGCTTTTATGCCTTTTTGATCATGGAGATCAAGCCAGTCTTACCCTTACTAAAGAAGTAGTGAGATGTTGGTTTGTAACTGAGATGGCTTGTTTGTAGTGAGATGTTGGTTTGTAACCGGGATGACTTGTTTGTAGTGAGAGAGGGATTTGTAATAAGGATTTCAAAGTTTTAGGGTTCTTGAAAGAATTTGATATTCTGAAAGCATTGTGGCAAGGGTTTTTTTTCTCTCCTGGTTTGTGTGAAAAGAATGTGATTATATAATGGAAATTAGGGTAAAAAAAATGGGCTTTGAATGTGCAATTGGGCCTCCAATGTTCACTTGAGTTCGTCACTTTCCAGGCTAAATCGCAGGGACTTAAGTGCAATTTTTGAAGTTGAAATGTGAAAACAAAATGTAGCCGATATCGAGAACTAACTCCTGTCCGAAAATCGGCTCAATCGGATAAACGGTGAATTAGTTTTGAATTTTTGAAGTTTCAGCTCAGACAAACTTATTTTGGGCTCCAGTGTCGACTCTGACACGTTCTTCAATAAAAAACTGGTATTGATCGGAGCATAATCCGGTCTCGACTTTTGAAGCAAAGTTGTAGATCTATGAGTCAGTGACCTTGTGTAAAAATATGAGCCCAATCCGATAAAAATTGACCGAGTTATGAATTTTTGAAGTTTCGGCCCAGATGAAATAATATTCAGCATTCAGGATTTTCAGCGTGTCACGCACTCTGAGCAAAAAACGAAGGCCTTTTGAATACCGTTGGAACTCAATAATTTCTGTGAAAATGTAGCCAACTCAATTTGTGAAATTTTGGCGCCGGAACCAGCTCGATACGATGAAAATCGAACAAGTTATGATCTTCTGAACATGACGCAAATAAACTTCTGTCACAAATTTTCTGTATGAAAATACTTGATAAATCCACATTTTTGAAGACCTTCTGATTGAAATTGGCTTCCAGCCGTGAGAGATGAAAACGTAATAATGTCAAGACGGAATTTTGGCCACCGGAACGGGTTCAAAACGAGTCACGATCTTCAAGTTATGAATTTTTTAGCGCGTAAAAACTGCACTTTCAGCACACTTTTTCACCATATTTCTTCAAGAAAACTCACACATTCAGATATCTTCTTTAAAGAATTGACTCTTGAGCCGAACCTGAATTTGAGAATACGTTATCAAAGATATCTTGGTGAAAGAACACCTGAATATGACGCGCCGGGTTGGACTTGTGAATTTTTCCCTAAATGTTTTGAGAAATATGGGAGGGCAAATTTTGGGGTACAACAGTTGCCCCTGTTCAATTTTTTTAAACCTGAGGATATAAATTGACCTTTAAGCCTTTCGTGATCCGAAGGTAGAAGATAATTGAACACTAGAGTGCCCAAAAATTTGCACTCGCATGGTGTAGTATCAGCGTTGTGATGTCAGGAATGGGCTTATAGATGCCATTTGGAGAGATGGTGGATAGGAGGATGAGCTTATAGATGCCATCTGGAGGTGTGACAGAATCTTGTCAGGAATGGGCTTATAGATGCCATTTGGAAATGTAATGGATAGTTGTGGAGATGGGCTTAAAGATGTCATTCGGGGGTGTCGATCGCGTAAGAGATTCCTTAGCGAGAACTTGTATTTTTGAAAAAGAAAGATAATTTCCTGGCCTGTTACAGGTGTTGATCTTCAAACTCTTCATGCAGATATGCCCTGGCTAGATACAAGTATCGAATCTACAATCAAACACTCACAGATATGCCCTGGCTAGATACAGGTATCGAATCTGGAACTTCAAACTCTTCATACAGATATGCCCTGGCTAGATACAGGTATCGAATCTACAATCAATCGCTCACAGATATGCCCTGGCTAGATATAGGTATCGAATCTGGAACTTCAAACTCTTCATGCAGATATGCCCTGGCTAGATACAGGTATCGAATCCACAATCAATCGCTCACAGATATGCCCTGGCTAGATACAGGTATCGAATCTAGAACTTCAAACTCTTCATGCAGATATGCCCTAGCTAGATACAGGTATCGAATCCACAAACAATCGCTCACAGATATGCCCTGGCTAGATACAGGAATCGAATCCGGAACTTCAAAAGGTTGCTTACAGACGTGCCCTGGATGGATACAGGTGTCGAATCTACAAACAATCACTCACAGATATGCCCTGGCTAGATACAGGTATCGAATCTGGAATTAGTCGTCTACAGACATGCCCTGGCTGGATACAGGTATCGAATCTCTAAACTCTTCATGCAGATATGCCCTGGCTAGATACAGGTGTCGAATCTACAATCAAGCACTCACAGATATGCCTTGGCTGGATACAGGTATTGAATCTGGAATTCTTCGTCTACAGATATGCCCTGACTGGATACAGGAATCGAATCTCTAAACTCTTCATGCAGACATGCCCTGGCTGGATACAGGTATCGAATCTACAATCAGTTACTCACAGATATGCCCTGGCTAGATACAGGAATCGAATCTGGAATTCTTCGTCTACAGATATGCCCTGGCTGGATACAGGTATCGAATCTCTAAACTCTTCATGCAGATATGCCCTGGCTAGATACAGGTATCGAATCTACCATCAATTACTCACAGATATGCCCTGGCTAGATACAGGAATCGAATATGGAATTGGTCGTCTACAGATATGCCCTGGCTGGATACAGGAATCGAATCTCTAAACTCTTCATGCAGACATGCCCTGGCTAGATACAGGTGTCGAATCTACAATCAGTTACTCACAGATATGCCCTGGCTAGATACAGGAATCGAATCTGGAATTGCAACAGTTGATAGTAATTATCTTTGGATTGACCTTTTTCCTAAAAAGGCAAAACATCAGTTGTATGCAATGTCCTGACGTATATGAAGGAGTGTGGTTCGTTCGAGAAATTCCGACCGACCTCTCTATCTATTTCTGAGATGTTTGGATTTTTCAAAACTCTATGGACATGCAGAAGAGATATGCTATTCCCACTCGGACCAAGACATAACTTTACTTGTTAAAATAACAATTAAGGTGAAGCAGAGTCAGGAACAACGAATCCCTTTATGATAAACATGATAAACAAATTCTTTTTGCAAGTAGGTTATTAGGGGTAGTTCCTACAAAGGATCATACTAATGACGTATACAATACTTGAATTTTCGATGTAGATGCTACATAGTTGGTTCTCATCCTTCAGAGACTACAAGTATAATAGGAGCATCCGTCAACAAAGGGATCACCCTAAGATGATCATCTCGTGGATATTGAGAACGAATCAAATCAGATGGTTCTATTTTTTAATCTTTTCAACCTAGGTTCCGTAGGAGCAAGTCATAAAGATTGAGAAAAATCTGTCATTCACAACCATTGATGAAGGATTCCTCGAAAAGTTCAGGATTACTAATCCTTTTGAAAAGTCAAAATCGAATGGATTCGGTCTTATACATACGCGAGGAAGGAAATACTAAAAGAAAAATAAAGAAGAAACAATCTTCTTATTTCTTTTATCACTTAGGAGCCGTGCGAGATGAAAGTCTCAAGCACGGTTTTGAATGAGAGAAAGAAGTGAGGAATCCTCTTTTCGACTCTGACTCTCCCACTCCAGTCGTTGCTTTTCTTTCTGTTACTTCAAAAGTAGCTGCTTCAGCTTCAGCCACTAGAATTTTGGATATTCCTTTTTATTTCTCATCAAACGAATGGCATCTTCTTCTAGAAATCCTAGCTATTCTTAGCATGATATTAGGGAATCTCATTGCTATTACCCAAACAAGCATGAAACGTATGCTTGCCTATTCGTCCATAGGTCAAATCGGATATGTAATTATTGGAATAATTGTTGGAGACTCAAATGGTGGATATGCAAGCATGATAACTTATATGCTGTTCTATATCTCCATGAATATAGGAACTTTTGCTTGCATTGTGTTATTTGGTCTACGTACCGGAACTGATAACATTCGAGATTATGCAGGATTATACACGAAAGATCCTTTTTTGGCTCTCTCTTTAGCCCTATGTCTCTTATCCTTAGGAGGTCTTCCTCCACTAGCAGGTTTTTTCGGAAAACTTTATTTATTCTGGTGTGGATGGCAAGCAGGCCTATATTTCTTGGTTTCAATAGGACTTCTTACAAGCGTTGTTTCTATCTACTATTATCTAAAAATAATTAAGTTATTAATGACTGGACGAAACCAAGAAATAACTCCTCACGTGTGAAATTATAGAAGGTCTCCTGTAAGATCAAACAATTCGATCGAATTTAGTATGATTATATGTGTGATAGCATCTACTATACTAGGAATATCAATGAACCCTATTATTGAAATTGCTCAGGATACCCTTTTTTAGCTTTAGCTTCTACAATTTCTTTCTTAGTTGACCTCTTATCTTACTAACTGAAATGAAATAATTAGTAGATCTGTTCCACCCCAAAATGGGAATGGGCTGAGGTTATGAACTTATAATCTATAATCTGATGATCGAATCGATTCCAGGATTATAAGTTCATTCCATTTGGGGAATTTGGAGTCTTCGAATTTGGGAACTTAGAATTTGGAAATGACTTGACTTGGATTAGAATTGGAGTATAATAATATTGCACCTGACTATGCATGGTTGCAATTGGATTAGAATTGGAGTATAATAATATTGCACCCTCCGATAATTCGGACAAAGGGAGGTAATATATATTATATTCTAGCAAACTAGTCCTAGTCAGGGGGTCGATTTTTCATTGATGTCTCCATATACCTGGTGTGAGATATCACATTGTTCGAGGAACCCTAGATGCTGCCGCAGTAAAGGATCGTCGACAAGGGCGTTCAAAATATGGAACCAAAAAGCCAAAATAAAATATTTTAGCCCCTATAAGTTATAAAAAAATGGATTATTACGCTCATGTCACGACGAGGTACTGCAGAAAAAAAAATCGCAAAATCCGATCCAATTTATCGTAATCGAGTAGTTAACATGTTGGTGAACCATATTATGAAACACGGAAAAAAATCATTGGCGTATCTAATTATCTATCGAGCTCTGAAAAGGATTCAACAAAAGACAAAAACAAATCCACTATACGTTTTACGTCAAGCAATACGTGGGGTAACTCCCAATATAGGAGTTAAAGCAAGACGCGTGAGCGAATCGACTCATCAAGTTCCCATTGAAATAGGATCGACACAAGGAAAAGCACTTGCCATTCGTTGGTTATTAGCGGCATCCCGAAAACGTCCGGGTCGAAATATGGCTTTCAAATTAAGTTCCGAATTAGTGGATGCTGCCAAAGGGAGTGGTGATGCCATACGCAAAAAGGAAGAGACTCAGAGATGCATGATGTCATGATGTTTTCAGGAATAAATGAGATTGTGTCGTATGCATTTTATCATATATGTAAGCAGGATGTATGAAATGTGAAATGTCTATGAATGTATTTTCGTCTAGGAAAATAAATCCTTGACGAGTTCCGGGAGTTTGTTGAATCCTGGGCTGATGTTTGAAGAGTAGAGTTCTTCGTTTCCGCTGGGGATGATGATCGCAAGAATAAACCGGTAGGAGAAGATGACTCCGTTGGGGAATAAACTTGTCGAAGAGATTACTCTGCGGGGAATTACTCTGTGGGAAGAGATGCTTCGCTGAGATTTTGATGAGAACTCCGCTGGGGATTCCGTTGATAAGTTATGTTGGGGAATCTGATGAACTCCGCTGGGGGATAGGAAGAACTTCACCGAGGACGATCTTTCTGTGGTAATTAGTTGAGGATAACCCAGTTATAAGCTCCGGTGGGGAATAACCTTTGAATATGGTCGGGGAGAGACGTATGTACTCTGCAGGTGATAAGCTTCCAGAATCTACTAGGGATAAGCTTCCAGAATCTACTGAGGAGATTGATTCAACTTTCCTGGGGTAACTTTTGGACTGCACTGGGGAAGTGGCTCCACTGGGGTGTCTGTATTCCGCCGGGGAACAATCTTATATCAAGACTGTCGGGGATGCTTGCTTGGGAATATCTGTATACTCCGCTGGGAATGTTGAGATCTTCTGGGGATACCCAACTTCCTTAAGGCTGACAGTAGACTAACTCTGCTTGGGGAGAGTATTGCTGACTTGCTGGGGACACTGTGCCTTGATGGGAGACCATCTCTGCTTGGGAGAGTATTGCTGATTCTGTCTTACTCTGCGGGGAGTGAAGATGCCTTGGTTAATTCTTCAGTTGAATCTACCTTGGTACCTTGGTGGACAGAGCATCTTGACCATTTAGACAATTATTATTTCCCCAGCTTCTGCGGGAGAAGGTACCTGCGGAGGTCTTGATGACTGCCGGTTGACCAATCTTCTTCTGGTAGGAGAGTGACGAGATGACGGGACATAGTCATACGCTTTGATCCCTAACTTTTGCCTGGACCGCCCTTTCGGGTTTTCAGTCCACCGGGATACCCATTTTTGCCCAAGCCGCCTTTTCAGGTTTTCGAATTGCCGGGTGTACAAATTTTTTCATTTTCATCCCTTATTTTTGCCCGAACCCTTTTGGTTTGCCGGGAAGCCCTTATTTTTGCCTAGGTGTGTCAACCTAGCGGGTCTTTGATTATGCGTAGTACTTTTTTCGACTATGTCCATGCTCTTAGAGTGCAGGGAGTTGTCACTGTCAGTAGTGTTGTGTTGCCATACTACCAGAAGATGTCTGATCATGCAAGATTCGTTGTTGGAATTCATGTCCAATGCCCCAAGTGACTCAGGCGGAGATTTGCCCCTGACTATTTGGCATTTTGAGAGATTCTCTGAATCTTGACTGGACTGCCCCAGATTATAGACAATGATCATGCCGTTCCCCTTGATTGGAAGTGTTTTTCCACTTGAGGTGACCTTTGTATTGAGAAGGTTTTTGTTCATTAGATATTCGTCGTGCGAATTTCTCTGCTGTTCGAACAAATAGTCATATGCAAACAATGTTATTTTAAGAATGCAAAGCTTATGTCTGTCTTGAAAATTTTGAAAATGCATTTTTTTGTAAAACAAGCGAATTTTTGTAAAATGTGATGTCAACTCAGTATTTTACAGCAAGCCTTAAGGAGTCAGTATACCTTTCGTAACAGTAGGCTTTCGAACTAACCCATGCTTCAGCTAGGACTTTTTAAGGGTTATAACGTGGCCTGGTTCACGGTTCAAGAAACAAAGGATAAAGGCTCAAATTATATTTGTATCCACCCGCTCTTCATGATGTTCTTCAATCCTAAAATCAGTTAATCGTGCATTAGACCTTGTTCGAGTCTTTGCTTTGATACTCCGGTGATGGTTCGGATTTTGACAATTTATTTTGAATAGGCAGTCATTTCTTTTTGTTAAAGGTTTGTAGAACCTCTTTCTTTTTTGATTTCATTATCGTTGTTTTTTTGCCTGAACTGTTTCTTTTGTGATTACAGCCAGCGGGATGCCCCAGTTTTGTAAGTCTCCTTCATAGGTTTTGACTTATTGGGCTTTTATTTCTGAGAGATAATGACTGCCTGTCCTTATGATTATACGGAACCATCACTGTCTTTTGCTTCGGACTTATTTGGTGTCATTCGTTGTGCACCTGGATCAACTGAGAGAACTACCCTACCCCAGGTTATGATTAAGGGTTTTAATTTTCGAAAAGAAAAACTCCAACTTCTTTGGATCAAAGGGGTTGACGAGGTATTATCTTCCTTATAACTCCAGTGTTTAGGATTTGAAACAATGCCTGCACTTCATTAGCGGGGTCTGTTCAAAAGCATGCTGTAAAAGATCGTGGTATCATTTCCGTCATCCTCCCTCAAAAGGCTTAGAATTATTAATCGAGAGCTTGAACATCACAAAAATGAAAGCAGTTTGAATATAGCGAATGCAAATATATTGATTCAAAACAGACATATGCAATGCATTAATAACAATGTTTGACATGAATAAATGTTTGAACAATCAAAGAAAATACAACTTGAACATTCGAATGAACAAAAAGTCTTCTCGTCTCAGGACTTGTCACTTCAAATGGTGAACCTTGGAGGGATGGTAGAAGAACTCCGCCTGACCATCTTGTGTGAATTCCAATGCTCCTTCATCAATCAGGTCTTGGATATTGTTCTTCAGAGACCAACAGTCGTCGGTGTCATGTCCTGGACTGGTAGAGTGGTAGGCACACCTTTTATTAGGATGATAGGTAGGAGCTGAGGTGTTGGGATTCCGGGGAGGAGCCCTTAATGTGATCAGATTCAATCTCAACAGGCGTTGTAAAGCTTGAAACAGCGACATGTTGAGCTGGGTGAATTGCCTCCTGGGCTTGTCTGGCTTTCTCTAATCAACCTGTTGTTCCTGGCGAGGTCGTTGTTGGACCTGTGAAGTAGTAGTAGCTTAGAGGGGTCTATTCATTGAACCAAACCTTTGACTTCTTGGAAGTTGATTAATGACTTGATCCCCAGCCTTGACTATTTGCTTCATGTTGTTGTCTGGACGAAGTTGGTTGACAACAGTTCTCAACTCTTCTTGCTCCCGAGCTAAGCCTTGGATAAGGGCCATCTGCCCCAGTATCTGAGTCCTCATTGCATCTACCTCAGCCTGCAGATGTTTCAGCCGTTCATCCTTATTGTCTTCTGGATTGTTCTTGACCAAATTCCCCATGAGGAGTGTTCTCAATTCTTCCTGCCCCTTGGATAGGCTTAGGAAGATTTCCCTGAACTGGGTCTCTTGAGTATGGAACTCCTGGTTGTCTGATTGGGAAGCCATTGCTGAAATAAACAGCGAAGAAGGTAAGTGACCTGTAACAAGGGTACCTGTTATGCAATGATGTGTATGTATGCATGCAATGTTTTCAAGGATCTCGCGGGGTAAACAAGAAAATTGTTAGAATCTGGTAGCTGGACTGAAGGAGCTTCATGTTGTTGAGAGTCCTTCTTCAAGAGTCAAGGCTCACCATATCTAGTGGGTCATCGCCCCTGACTCAAGCTGTTATGTTTTGATCTCCAAACAACCTTGGCTAGAGGAAAATAAATCCCCTTTGCCCCTTGCTAGACATTTAGTTCATCATGACCTGCATCACAGACCCTTGAGATCCTTGAAATGGATTAGTCCTTATGCAGGATGTATGCAATGGTATGATGGTATGATGTTATGCTATGCATGGAGTGATGTAAGTAAACCCTGTTATGAGCCCAGATTAAGGACTGTAAACAAAACCTGCAAGAAACTCGTGTGTCAGATAACAAGAATGCGCAAGTAGTTCAAGTTTTAAGGCACACAAGTCACACCAGAAAGCCCTTAGAGTTTAGGCCAGGATGAAGTTTAGGTACTACCCTCTTTCAGTTTCGTTGGTTAAGACCTGTCCTAGAAAATAGTAACCG